AGCTTCATTCTTCAGGGTTTAAGGTGAGGTACAACATCATGGTGGAATAAGTCAGGACATGGCCACCAATAAGCAGAGAGAGACTAAAATCAAATATAGACCCCAAACACACGTCCCTAATGATCTACTTCTTCCAGCCACACCTTACCTGCACACAGTTAACTCCTATCAGGATTAGCCCTCTGATTAGATTAGGGCTCTCATAACCCAATCATTTCATCTCTAAACTTTCTTACATTATCTCACATAGGAGATTTGGGGGAATACCTAATATTTAAACCATAACAACTAGCCTCCTTTTAATAATTCATCAGCAAAATTTCCACTTCTTTGTATAATACTTTAGGCTTGAATTTCTTTTTACCTTTTCAAGTAAAGTCAATCCTGGCAGAGAGCATTATAGAGCTTTCGGTTCCTATGGACTGACTCTCCCCTTAAGCAAAACCTTTGAGCCACTCTCCTGGGCACAGGATAGGGAAAATAGCTTCTGGTCTTCTTAGCTCACCTTTCTGGGCATAGAACCTCCACTCTAGAAGAATATGGTATCCCATTATTTTTGCCATACCCAAATGGGGGTAGACCCTGGGATCTTTGAGTGGGGCTCAATAACAAAAGAAGCGTCCAGCCTCTCCACCTCACTCATCAGGAATTTAATCTCTACAGTTTAGAGTTAGAGGACATTAGAAATGCTGGCCTGCCCCTTTTGATAATTACCTATTCATATCCTTTGGTTGGGAGCTCAGGAGAGAGTCCATCCTCTTGAGTGCCCTCATCCAGAATTAGTGCGTGGGGGGATGCCTCGGATTGTGAGGGCAGGTGGAAGCAAGTCATGGCTAAAGTGTCAAGTAATCTTTCTGATCTTACAAAGTTTTAGTAGACCTTTTGAATAAATATTCTTCATCCACTGTATGGTCTTAGGACACTGCAGAGGCATTGGTTGCTTTGTTATTTGGGGTTTTGAAATTTTGGTGTAGTCTTTTGATTTGTTTCCAATTTTTAGCAATTACACCTTTTCAGCTGGGATTGGCTGTGTGGTTGTCCTCACACTGCCTTTCTGGGAGTGGAACTTCTGAATTGTTTTTTCAGAAGACTGTGCCAACGAAAATTCCTTGTTTTTTCACATACACTTTGGTTTCCTTATTATAATGAAAGTAATAATCCACACCACAATGTTCGAACCATGAGAACCCTAAATAAGTGGGGTTTTTCTTTTTTCTTTTTCTTTTTTTACTCCTGTCTCTCCTCTTATCTCACTTTCAGAACTCATAAAAGTTCTAGTTGAATAAGGGTGCCTGGCCATGAATGTGTTGTGATGCTTCAAGAATTTCAAGACTCTGAGAAAGTATTTTAAGCAAAGTGAGGAATATATTTAAACACATATTTTTAGGTGTTTATGTGTTTAAATATATTTAAAAAGTGAAAAAAAAGTGATTTCAGGCCTGAACCAGGTCCTATTAGAACTCATGAAAAAAAAATTCTTAAAAAAAAAAAAAGACACAAGGGCTGGGAATGTGGCTCAAGTGGTATCACGCTCGCCTGGCATGCACAGGGCGCTGGGTTCGATCCTCAGCACCACATAAAATTAAAAAAAAAAAAAAAAGATGTTGTGTCCACCGAGAACTGAAAACTAAATATTAAAAAATTCTCTCTCTCTCTCTCTCTCTCTCTCTCTCTCTCTCTCTCTCTCTTGAAAACACAAGCCAACAACATGGCTCATGATCTTTTTTCTCTTTTCCACTCTTCTTGACTACTTCCCCCAACTAATAATCTCTCTGAGCTGTATTTTATATAGCAATCTGAATCTTGAAATAAGTCTCCCTTTCCAATTATTAAGAAATCAAAATCTCAAGAAAGCTATTTCCATTATCATTTTATTCATTCATTTAACAAAGATGATTTCCTATCTAGGAGTTTTATGGTGCTGTATTCTGCACTTGGCCCCTGTTTTGTATCTTAAGAAATGAGTTAGAATTTGAGGAACTATCTTGCCAATCCAAAATGCTATTTTCGTGTTTGCTCAGTTTCTAGGTAGCTTATTCACCTACTCATAACTTAAAATGTTCAGGGAAAACACTGTGGATGGCAACCTAGGAGAAGCTATAATTGAAACTTATCTTTAACTCTGTGTTATAACAACTGTAGAGCTGGTCAGGGACAAATAGAATCTTGTTTTCAGCTACTTGTGCAGGTAATGTTGAGAAACTAGAATCTACCAAAATTCATTCATGTGCTCCTACAAATTCTTTGGTCATCTGAAAAGATCCAGAAGCAATCAAGGATAAACTGTAATCAGGTACACTGCCATCCATCCAGAGTTGCTCACTCAAAAAGGGGATAAGGATGATGAACAAAAACCCAGACCTAAAAATTATATTCAAAAACTAAAATATCTTCTTTTCAGAGATATTCAGAGTTTAGGGATATAGGTTAAAAATACAAGTTTTAAATCTGAGTATAAGATGACCTTATGTAAGTTTCAATTGTGAAATTTTTGTTTAGCATTACATTATTTTGTTTAGCAGGTGCAAATTGAATTCTTACTATGTGCAGTGTCAGTAAGGTATATTCCTTGCTTTAAGAAATGAATCTTACACACAAGTAACTATTGTGTAAGTTAGAAAAATTGTTTCTGCAATGCAACTTCAAAAAAAATGCTCTTTAAGACAGAAAAGAAAAAGATTTATTCCTGTTAGGGAGGATTAGAAGAAGATTCATAAAGGAAATGGCAGCAAATAGATATAAGTACAGGGACATAATGAAACCAGCCAGAGCTTATTACAGGCTGCCTTCTGAGATCAGCTAGTAATATCCCTTGCTGAAGAATTGGGGAAGGGGTATAAAGGATAGAGGAAAAAAGGTTAGATGACTTACAGTCATCATGAAGACCCCAAAATGTCATCACAGGACTTGGGAGTTTATTTTGACATCAATAGAAAACACATAGGGGTTTTGAAACAGGGAATAGTCATCAGAGCCGTGTCTTTGAGATTATTCTGACAGCATGTATAAATTAGATTTCAAAAATACCAGAGGTAGGAAGACCAATATAGAAGTCATTGTTGTGTTAGGCTAGGTGGGCTGGAACTAAGAGTGCAAAAGCCAAAGGAGATGTCAGTTCCATAAACACAAAACAGAAAATGGAAGTAAGAGAATGGATGACACCATGATGAAGGATGACTGCTACTTGGGAGCTGGTGTCAGTAGTGGGAGAGGGGTACGCGGTATTTTGAGGTTTAATGTCTGTGTGTTGGAGAGATTGGCAGTGTCCTTAAAAAGAGAAAGGAAATAGGGAAAGACGTGACTTAAGGAAAGAAGAAAAAGGATGTTTTATTTATTCAATAAATACTTATTGGGCACAATCAATAGTAATGTGTCCAGTGCTGTTCTGGAGGGGGAGAGAGTAATCTTGAATTTTTTAAAGTGTTTCTGAGGAAGAGGCACTGTTCCCAAAATGTGTGACTCCAAAGGCAGAGCTGGAGCCAGAGAGTAGGAGTGAGGTAGGAAGTAAAATATCTTTCTAATAAATGGAGGCTTGTTGGTGAGTAGTAAGAGCTCTGTTACAGGCAGTATTCAAGTAGAAGCTGGGTATTATTCTTTCAGGAACACAGTAACAAGGGATTCTCACCTTAGGAAGGAGGTCAGACTAACCTTTCTTCAAGCTCTCTTCCAGTCTTAAGACTCTATTCTTCCTGATGATGTAGTCCTGTGAGTTCTATTATTAATCTCTGGTTTCTCCCAATTATTAAATAAATTACTCAGTCTGTCTGCCATTCAGTAAAACTCACACATTTACATCTGTTATTCTTGATTTATTTTTGGTTAGGGCTCCTCTTCTTAGAATTAAAAAATTCTACCCAGTTAACATTACCTTTGTAACTATTTAAGAATTGTAACCCTGGCAGATAGGGTTATAAATACCAGAGGGGAAAAGGATTTCTTGTGCCTAATAATATTTTTGTTTAGAAGAAGCCCTGGGAAACCAGGAATGGATTATCTTGACTTCAAGATTACGATGCAGTTTCTATATGTTGCAGTAGTTCAAAAAGGAAAAAAAAAAAAGCATCTCAGAGAGGTTCATTTTTATATGGCATGTAAAGAAAAAGAATAATTATTCTCCAAACACTGTGAAGCTTTAGATCAGAAACATTTATCTGTGCTGCATTTAAAAGAATAAAAGAGGAAAGGAAGGGAGAAAAGGGAACAGGGAAAGAGGAACCTGTCGTGAGCCCTGTTATAAGCTATAGTTCAAGCTTTGCATTTCCTGGTGTCTTTTGAAACGTAAAATTCCACAACAAATAGCCCGGTAATGTAGAACCAGTATGAAGATTCAATTCAGATTGAAGCACTTTGGTTTGCTTTTGAGTCTTGCTATTTTCTGCATTTGTTTTGACTGCTCTCATCATTCAAGATTGACGCTTGGATGGGTGTGTAGGAGGAAGCAGCAGCAGCAGGCTTACAGCTTGCAGACAAAAAAAATCTGCCTTATCTGATGGCTATTATTGAAAATGCGAGGTGTAGCCTGGGCTGGGTAATGAAGGGGAGCCAGCGAGGGGGAGCAAGGAGCATGGAGCTGCATACTGATGAGTGTAGGAGTACTTGATAAAAAGAATTCTGGCTGCTGGCCGTGCATTGCTCATTGTGGAGTACTCCAACAATCACATAGAACGCAGACCAGCCTAAGCTGACAGCTTGATATGCCTTCTTCTGCTGCCTGGTTTTGGGGGCTGTATGATGACGTACTGGTCGGTAGTAAAGATTAATATGTAAGAAATGTGGAGCTAGGATCAAGTCACACTCCACAGCCTTCCTGGCAAACTATGTTTTACTTCTGACTTTGCTCTCTCGCTGAGAACATTAATCTGTCAAGCTGGCGGGCTCCTTTGATAGCAACTTTCCCAGGAGCATGATGTGGCAATGCCACCTCTCAGCCCAGGACTACCGCTATTACCCCGTGGACGGCTACTCCCTGCTTAAACGCTTCCCTCTTCATCCTCTTACAGGACCCAGATGCCCTGTCCAAACAGTGGGACAATGGTTGGAAAGCATTGGGCTACCTCAGTACGAGAACCACCTGATGGCTAATGGATTTGACAATGTGCAGTTTATGGTAAGATGCTCTCTGTGTCCAGGGAGCTGCCTTTTGTCTGTCTTTGCTTCTTATGTGTCTTACATAGCTCAGAGGCAGCCTGATTTGCTCCAGACTGATCAGTTTTGTATATGTAACTGCATCAGAAAATTGAATGCCCTTAGGACTAAACTTACTGTGTACATATTAGACACTTGCTGAAAATGAGATCTATATGCATCCATATACATATGTGTTATATGAATGAGCCGGCAGAGTACTATTTATAGGCAATGGAGAAGATTAACATTTATATTCTCCTTGTCATTCTTTGTGTGATTTTTTTTACAAATTGTAATCTTAGTATACCCAGTTAGATTGTATCACTCTTCAACTAATTCTAGATTCCTAAACCTTATTATTTTATTTGAGCATCAGCATTTAGTGATTAATTAGACAATTTGTTATGCTGATGGTGTAAAAATCATTCTTTCCTGATAATTATTCAAAAAGCAGTTTAAATCATTCGGACGCCCTTTGGTTCATTAGCAAACTGCTTCAGATGGTCAATTATGGAGAGTATTAACTTACTTACACATGCTGATTGAAGAGCAATGAAGTATTGTTTGTTACTTTAGGTGGAAAATAAACACTTGGGTCAATTCGTTGTCAGCATGTAGAAAGAGGGATAGATGCACTGAATACATTCATGTACTTCTGAATCCTGGTCTACATGCAGTTTAAACCTGGTGTGTGCAAACTTCCCACTGTGATGCATATAGGTGAGGAAGGATGGGGAGGTGTGCTGATGACAATCTGGCTTTCTAATCATTCCCATACCTCCCCCAGTGCTCATCAGTTCCTCTTGTAAAGCTACGTCACAGCCCTTATTGCCTTTCCTTGCTTTTAAGCTCCCACCACACATATCACTGTTCCCTAAATTTAGAGAGACCTATATAACATGGGCATGTAGCACGCAAATTACTTGTAGAAATAATTAATAGTTGTTCTTAAATAAAATGCTGGGGCTGACACCTGCAACTTGCTAATACCAGAACTGATCGTAAAAATACTTAGAGCTAGTCAGATCTTTTTATTTTCATGTGATATTATTTTTTTCTCCAAGCTGGGCTTGACTATGTAGATTGGAAGATTATTAAAATTCTTGGACTTCTGCTCCTTTCCCAAAAATGTGTTTGCTTGTAAACTTTGGGGGGGGAGTGGGAAGCCATAAATTTAGTAAGTCATGATTTTAAGAAATTATGTACATATAACATTTAATGAGTGTTTTGTTGTTTTTTAAAATAATTAGAGATGAAGCTACTGTTATTTTTCTTGAATTTATCAAGTACTTTTACTAGCTAGATAAGATATTTTGTTTTAAGAGGAAAAGAGGGAAAGTTCTTCAAATGCTGTGAAAGTCTTAGGACACTGAGATTTAAACAAACTTAGGACCCTAAGTTTAATTCCATTAAATGGAATTAAGAAGTAGAGGAACTATCAAACAGAATAAGTTATTTCATCATTATTTATGTTTAGTGTACATTTCAACATCTTTATTCTTTCTCCCTGTCTCTATTTGAAATGGAGCTTTCTCATTCCCATCCCTCAGACCCTTGTCCAAATTTATTGTGGTCCATGAGAACTCAGGTCTCATGAGACCTCAGGTTTTTGAATACTCTCGGTCATTTGGCCATACTGGGATACTTGATTTCAGCTTGATTTTCCTCTGAATGTTAAATAATATGAACAAATATAATCCCTTTTTAAAAGCCTCTGACTGAAAGGTTAATCACACAGGTTTTAAATAAGAATTTGGGGAGAGATAATAAAATACATTCATAAATAAATTATATACAAGCACTACAAATGTATCTGGAAGGTGAAGATCCTGGACATGTGCAGCAAAATCAAGGTCTAATCATAGATTATTTTCTTTACTTGTTTAATTTCAAGTATTAAATATAATTTTTCAGAAAATAAGAGCACATTATTAATTCATGTGAGCCAAATACTTTCTTTATGATACAGAATTTTAAAAAAACTTTTGAGTTATCATGTAGAGGAGTTAATTCATTTTGAAAATGAAGCATTCATAAAATGGTGTCATCAGTTACTGCTTTACATGCTGTTATACACCATCTATTTGCTACTAGAACAAGAAATGAATTTTTACCTTTATAAAAATCATTTATTGATCTCCATAACCTAATTTATTTAGTTATGAACTTAAAGTACACTAATATGATTGGCCCACTTTAAGAAGCAGATTTCAATTATGTGGTGAAAAATCTTTTTTGGACTTGCTAGTTTTCACTTGGTATCATATTCTAGCTTTTGTTTTTCTTGAAGCACATTCTGACCTGCATTTATTCATCCTGTTGCCTAAGCAACAAGCATCACGCTTCTGTTAACTATGATGTAGTGCCGGTCTTATTAGTTTTTTTAGAACAAGACAGTAGACATCGAGAGGGTATAATTAATGTTGGTGGAAACATCATAGTACATCCATGCATAGACATGCTTTATTTAGGAAACATCCCAGGAGTTAACTTTTCATTTAATCAATATTCCATTAATGTGAGTTTAAAGGATCCATATGAGTAACTTTAAAGTATTTATTGAAAGCTTTAAACATTTTTTTTTGCTAAATCTATTCTATATACTCTCATATATAAACACAATATATGGATAATTTGTCTGCATGGCTATGATTAATTTTAATAGAGATTACTTATATCAATTCCTAGACATGGTTAGAGGAACTCCCATCCACTGCACTTGCTTTTAAATATCTGTCAATTGTTGCTTCTCCTTCAGGCTCTTGATACTTATCCTTGATTTTAAAGATATATGAAATGTTTTTCTATATCTTCAAGTTAAAATACCAACCTTTTTCTTTATGCATTTCATTCTGTTTTGTAGAATAATTGTGCACACAAATTGGACCCTTTGTATCCTTCAAAATAGCAAATAAATAAAATTGGTACAATCAAAGAATAGCTACAAAATTACCTCAGGTTGCCTAAGACTTTGGTAAGGTCACACATGTGTTAAAATAAAAAGTCCTAACACAACAGAATCCTGAAGTCTTCCTTAGGTCCCACTCTGCTTGTTCCTCCCTCTGAAGTCATACTTCATCTCCTCCCTCCTGCTTACGCACTTCTTCTGCTACCCACCAGCCCTAGAAGTGGTGCTGGGGTCACCTGACACCTCATTCCTTTACCCCAAATTTGCAACATACACAGTGTGTCTGTTTCAGCGTTACTTTTTTCCACCAAGAAGTTTAGGTATAAAGTGAATATTACACAGAATGCACATGCTTCTATTTCCTTATTAGGTTTATTTCTACTACCATCTTTCTTTTCCTAAGTCTAATGACTTCTTCCCTAGTTTTAAGTCTCAAACCATCTCTTCTTGTCCCTATGACTTTACCCTTGGATTCTCTCCCCACACTTCACAGACTCATGTCTTCTTTCCTTCCTCTGTCTTTTATTCCAAAGGTCTAACCCATTTCCTGCCTTGTTTACAGAGCTTTTTTTTTAACAACTCCAGTGCATAGCAGCCTTTTTCCCCCCTCTGAATTCATTTCATGGTTACATATGGTATGAAAAATTACATTTGGCATGCCATTATTCTCTCTCTAGAATTAAGTTTTTAGTGGTTTATATCTTGTCTCCCCAACTAAACTAGAAGCTCCTCAAGTCCAAGTTTTATGTGTTCACTTCCCTTGCTTTACACACAACTCCTAGAATAATGCTGTGTATAATATGGAAATCATCCCCAAAAAACCAAATGCACAAAAGATTGTTATGGATGGATCTCCAGTCTCATTTTTAAACTAGTAACCTTGTTTTACCAATGGGAACATGTACCCTTCTCTAATTCACGCAACAAATTGTCTTTAAACATTTTCTGTGCCAGATACTGTGTTAAGTACTAGGAATGTGAACAAGACATGACCTTTTGTTCTCAAGCAAGATAGTATTGCCTTCAGACCTATCATAATGTTTGCATTCACATCACACACATTCCTTCATTCATAAACACACACACTTGTGCATGTGCATGCACACACATACACACTATATCTCAGGGATATTGGTCCTTTGTCTTTCCATCATGTGTACTTACTAGGAATTGTTTTTCCAGCAACAAATTATAGTAGTTAACAGAACAAGATCTGTCATAGCATAAAGTAAAGAAAAAAATATAGGCACCAAAATTTAGCAGTGTTATAGTAGATTTATAGTCTGAAGACAGTAAAGAAAATTATATTACTTGGAGGAGGACTGACTCATGACCTTACCATAACTAGCTGACAGTTATATTTGTAAACTCTGACCAAAACAGAGGAAGCATCTTCTGTTCATTTTGGCTAATTTAACCATTATTAAAATGTTCAAAATGCAGCCTTTATGGAGTTAGACATGAAAATAATACTGACATCCTTACATGAACTGGCATTTTGTACACTTGGGTGGAGAGCTTTCACAAAGGACTTGCTGGAGGTCAAAGTGAGTAGTGCCTATTAGATAGTGAAGTGAAGCCCCAGAGCTCATAGTAGTCATTCATCTGAACAAAAGATTTCAGCAAGATTGAGCTTACAATACAAATTTAATTGACCCCACCCCCATTTCTGTGGTGCATTTTACATACTCATGGACTTACATCTCTTTTCCACTTTCATATAACTTTGGCCTGATAAAATGACCTTTTAAGTATCTTAGAATCTTGTTGGGATCCAAGTAACAAGTTAAGTTTGTGAATTAGAAATATATATTGTTCCTAAAAGATAAAACTAATAACTGCCTGATGATTTCTTATTCAAATATTGTTTAGGAAATTCTCATGGAATTACTGAGATTGGAAGGTATAAGAGAAAAATACCTGTCTCATTCCTGTCCCTTCCTATATCTGATACTGCCTAGACTTTGAGTTGAGTGGGTGGCCTTACATTGCAAGTGCAGGTACAATTTTAAAAACTCATTAGGCCAGTAGTTACAAACCCAGTTTTGGTAGGGAGTGGGGGTGCGGGTGGG